GGGGGGTATTATCAATCCTGTGCAAATCCTAATTTGCTTGGTGTTTGTTTTTGTATTAGTTTACAGATTTGTGAAAGTTTCTTAACACATTAAAGGTTTAAGTATGGATGGATGCAAGTCAGATGGTTGAGTGGAGAGTTCTGTTGAAATGATGTACGTAAAAATATATGTGGGATAAAAGCTACAGTATAATGAACCACTGAAAGTGACACAAAAAAAAGCTTCTCCACAGAGCTCACTCATTCTTCTCCAGCTCCAATTAACACACCGTCAATATTTGAGAAATGAAAAAAATATAATTACTCAATCATCTTATCTACTTCATTTTCACTGCTGGCCTAATTGGAGCTCATTTAAAATTAATATAACTTTTAATTGAACGGCAGCACTTGTTATCTCGTGTTGTGCCATTAATTATGGAAAGCTTTGATAATTTCCCTTTTCATTTGCTGATTAAAGATGAAGAGGCACATACTGAGATTTTACAGATGATTTGTTTGTCTTCTTTTCATTTATATTTTAAAGGATTATTATGAGTGTTATTTGAATCAGATTTCAGCCTATTTCCAGTTGATGTGAAAGAGTTACTCCTGCTGACTTATTCAATTTAATGTAAAAAGTATTCTTAATGTTTAATCCACTCATGAACTACTTTACCCAGTTTGCATTTTTTCCATTATTAAAGGAGCATTGTTTTAAAGGAAGAAAGAGAACCCTATTTAAACACCAATTATTACTGTTCCTTTTGTTTTGGGGGGGAACTGTGACAAAAAATGTTGCGAGAGATGTAATTACAAAAAGGCCTACAGCCCTGCATTCATTGAGCCTCCCTCATTACGATATGCCATAATGATGCGAACAAGTATTTTATATGTAAATTATATTATATTTTCATATATATGTGTGAATATGTGTGTGTATAGATTTGACAAATGACATTTGTATTTGTATCTTTCATCACATAAACAACATATAAACAACTCCCCATTTGTTCCTGGGATGATAGTTTATCATGTGTATGAATATACATATTTTTGTGGAAGTAGATGAAAATTAGATAAAGGCCTCCCATTAATAACCAGCATCAATTAATTCTGTCATATTCAGAGGCTTGTCATGAAACCACTATTTGAATAGTGGAGGGATTCACACTTATAATAATAATTATTTGAGATGTTAAAAAGGAAGAAGTATCATTCATCATCCAATCAATAATGTGTAACATGAGTGATGAGATACACAGGGTTGTAATATGGTACGGCCCTTTTTTCTTTGGTCCATCTCAGGGCTTCACTGATCCACATCGCCTTCCTTTTAAACCAGATGCATCATTTTTACAGAAAGCTATCTTTAGTTTTGAACTCAGATCTGTGGCACCAGGGCCTTGTTTTAATTTTGTACAGTAAATTCATTCTTGTGACTTCCCTGATTGATTATACAAAATCAATTGCAATGTAATCTATTTTCTCTAACGTCTGTTCTTTAAGAGGAAATACAGTTGCCAGGAAGAACAGTTTAGATAAGATAAAAAAGTATTTTTTAAATCTAGTTTTATGATTGCTATAGTTCATGTTTTATTTCTATATCCTTGTCATTCCATTCCAGTCTTAGCAGGTTTTATAACTTATCATTACACCTACATTTATTTTAATTCATTCATTCAATTCCTTTTTATCCTAAATCCTCTTTTGTTATCGTTTCATTTTGCAGCAGCTGAAGGTTTATTATTTATTATATCCTGTTCATGTTTTTATTATTTTTATTATTACAAAAACATTGTCAGCATATGCCAGGACAACCACCCGCTCTCCACTACTAGCTCTGGTGCCACTCTTCAATAACGAATCAAATAAAAATAGAACAATAAAAAATAGAAATGTCATTATTGCTACAATATAGACCACATATATTTTGATGAATGATGGAGTGCGTGGTGTTAAAGATGCACATCCTACTGTGAGCTGCACCACCTTCACAGTTTAAATCACTCTGCTAATCCGTCTCTTCTCCTGTAATGACTAAATGGGATTTAAAGGATCGAGTCAATAAGTATTCACCATCTCTGTCTGCTTGGTCTTCTGGCTTTCTGCTTCTATTTTCTTTTGAAAATGTTTTGAGATTTATTTTAAACTATAGCTCTTTCTAAAAGCATTGCTGCAGTTAGTTCAGCCCCATAACCAGGGTCAAGGCTTTTGGTCTTCGCTGCTGCATGAGTCAGCCTCTCTGTACATGTAGCAGCTGCTGTCAGTGTGATTTCCTTTCTTAATTGAGATCCTTCTCTCTTCTCTTGTAAAACTTCTCTGCTGCATATCACACACTGTGATGTTAGGCCAAAGGGTCAACAATGTATGACACAGTTAGTTACACACATTAGTGGAGCAACAGAAAATCATTCAGAGCGATTTTGCTTATTGATTCATTTAAGTAATTTATTAAGCAAAAATGCCAAATATGATCTGGTTCCAGCTTCACAAATATGAGGATTTGTGTTTTTTTGAAGATTGTATATCTTTTGTTGAATGATTAAGACGTGACCTTTTTCACTACTTAATTTAGAGCCAGACAATGAACTCTTTTGTGTATAAATGAGCTATGAAAAGAGACAAGAACCTTTTCAAAATATATTTTAACAATGTAGAATCATTTTTTTTCAAAGGTTTTTTATGAGGTGATCTCATGTGTGAATGAAATATTTGTGTTAAAGGGTGAATCTAAGGGAGTATTAACTTGCCTTCATATTTAAATGAACAATTTTAGGTGTACGTATGTCCATTACATTTCAGATTTTTATTTTGTAATCAAGTTGCTATAAAACATGAGTACATATCATACATAATATCTATAGTAATTAGCCATAACTGAAACAGCCACTTTTAGTCACCAGTATGTATAATAATATATTCAAATGTCATTTTCACAGTTTTAAAATCTCCATCTGTTTCTCCTTCAGGTCAGCATTTCAGTCTTCGTCAGCTGGGAATCTGCGAGCCACCTTCGCGTCGTGGCCTGGCCTTCTGCTCCGAGATGGGCCTCCCACACCGCGGCTTCTCAGTTGGCACGGCCCAGGACATAGACACCGACAGTCAGGCTGTGATGTCACCAGAGCGCGCCATGCGGCTGTGGGGTCGTGGGGGTCTGGGTAAATCGTCAGGGAGGAGTTCCTGTCTGTCCAGCCGCTCCAACTCAGTGCTGACTCTTACCGACACCGAGCATGAGAACAAGTCGGACAGCGACAACGGTAGGACGGCATGGAAACTTGTTGTCTCTTTCTGGTTCTCTTTCCCTCTTTACGCTCCACTCCTCACCTAATAGATGCTATTTCAACCGAAGAGTGGTACAATATACATATTAGGGCATTATTAACTGACAGCTTCCTCTCAGGTACACACTGGAACACTTTTATATTTAGGCAGCCTGATAGATTTCAATTTCTTTCAGCCTTGATCATGGTCCTTCGGTAGTATGCATATATGACAGTGAATTATGCTCATTTTTGACAGGACTGGTGCATACTCTCCTTTATTTAATGAGACAAATTAGATGTTTCACTTGGTACAATTACTGATAAATCCTGCCCTCCATGTTTTCTAACAAAAAGAGAAACCAGCCATGAGATGGAACTTCCATGTGCTGCTGCGAGTGTGCAGGTTGTGGTGTGTGTGTTTGTGAGGGGGAATATTCTGCTCTCGCTGAATCTCTACAGCAGTGTTAGTTAATGCCACTGTTTTGTTACTGAGGGAACATTTGAACAATTGTACAAATATTGAGAATATTGGAAGCAAAAATAATCATTGATGTACTGCATGTTCTGATCATAGAGCTCTTGCTTTAATGATTTCAGTGTTGGTCAAAACAGTTCATTGCAGTATGTTCCAGTGCCAGCTTCTATCTATCTATCTATCTATCTATCTATCCACAAACATATTATCATGAGTCTATATTTTTTCTATTGTATTCCTTTGTGTTTGGGGCAGCAGTGGCTCAGGAGGTAGAGTGGGTTGTCCACTAATTGCAGAGTTGGGGGTTTGATCCCTGACTCTTCCTCCCCACATAGTGGAGTGTCCTTGAGCAAGACACTGAACCACAAGTTGGTCCCGAAGGGCAGACAATCAGTTTGTGTGTGTGTGTGTGTGTGTGTGTGTGTGTGTGTGTGTGTGTGTGCATTGGTGAATTGGAAGCACATTTTAAAGCACACTAATCAATTCTGTTCTTAAGAACAAAAAGTACTCTAGGAGTATTTTTTTAGACATTGAACCCGGCATATAATATATAATATAGCCCATTAGTCAGTGAATAGCCATTATTGTTTCAAACATCATGGAATTAAATCTCTCATATTGATACGAACTGTTGATGTACACCCCGACTCAGTGTCCTTTTTAGTGGAGGGAATTGGGGGAGGCAGCAAAACATGAAACAATCTCCTGCTAATTAATTGAATTAATGATCACAACTTAGCTGAGCCGGCATTTTTTTATTTTTTTTTTTTGACCTTCTGTTTGCATGTGTGTGTGTTTGTGTGCATCACATTGATCTAAGCAAGGAAATGTGTGCAAATATCTTTGTAAAGTACTTCTTTGTCTGCATGGTGTGTGTGTTTTTATGTGTGCAAGTGTAGATCCCCAAGGTAATTTTCCTTAACAGGTGTGAATTTCATACTTAATAAAGGACTTGTTTTTGATTTTAGACGCTCACACACACACACACACACACACACACACACACACACACACACAAATCCGCTGTATTTCCATTAAGCTAGACAAACACACACACTCAGTGGGTTTTCATTAAGAGATGTGGTGTTGTAATTAACAGTGAGATAAAGTGCTGAGTCGCTATATTTCCTATATTAAGTTTGATAATGTTTTTATTAAATGGCATTATGCTGTGGATGTCAGTGCTCTGGAGGATACACTTCCAATCTCTAAAAGTGAGTAGTCGTCAAGTTTTCAAAGGCTAATTGACTCTTTAAAATGCAGGTGTGTGTGTGTGTGTGTGTGGGTGTGCTAGCTCTCATTTTTTCGGGTGTGCGTAAGTGTGGAGTTGAAGTGGTCAATTGCTAACACATGGTCCCTTGTGGTTTAGACTGGTTCCTTCAGTGGGGATAGCGGTGGCTCGTCATTATTGGAGTAGGGATTAACCCTGATGACGGCAAGCTAGTCCAGGTTGGTGGATAAAGCATTCAGGACTGGAGAAGAGTTAGGCCACTTGTTCTATTGTTGAGGGCATTGGAGCTCATACTGGTCTGCACCTCGCTGTGTATGCGTTCTCAAAGTAAGAAATTGGTGGGTCTGTATTGGGCAAAAGCAGAATTACATTGTGCTAGAAAGAAATACTGTTCTTTGGTTAAAAAAATGACTTTACATGAATGGACCATAGTTAATCGTTAAATCACCAGCTGGAGGCCATTGCTATAGGCATTACCAGAACCTCACATCTACGCGAGCACTATCAGTCAGAATAGAATTGCTCATCAACAAAGTTGCTATCTTGGCCTCTTTCCACTGCAAAGACTTTTCCAGGAACCTTAGAGTTTGCCGCTTTAGTTCAGTGCTCTGTGATGGCCGGGGAACTATCAGGCTGAAGTTTGAAGGACTGAATTTCCCTGATTGGTCAAACACAAACCCAGAGACTATACCACACATCACTACTGCTAGTATGGGCATCAGGACTTCAGATGGAAATGTTTGTTATGTTATTGATGTTTAGCAGCCAGAGACTTAGCAGCCAATATGTTGCATGTATTGTTGTAGACAAATACAAAAAACTTCCCTAGTAAGTCTCCATCACATACGTTTAGCTGTGAGGTTGTCGGCTGTGTGGTCTGCTAACACACTCTGTCAGGGTTTCCGCCAGTGTACTGACATAACGTTAGTGAGTGTCTGAGAGAGAGAGAGAGAGAGAGAGAGAGAGAGAGAGAGAGAGAGAGAGAGAGAGAGACAGAGAGAGAGAGAGAGAGAGAGAGAGAGCGTGGTGGGGAGTATGAAGGTATCAGTGATAGCTGTGAATGTAGCAGTACAGTTTGTGCCTAGTTTATTTGTGAGTGAATCAATGTTACAACTCCTCAAGACCCAAACCAAGTTTGTGAGTCATGACTGCCAGCCACCTGCTGGCAGCTCTGTTCAGGCTCATTTAAGGTTGGATGACTCTACTTCTCACTTGATTTATGACCTCAGTAAACTATGTGAACATGAGTTTATGGTCTTAGATGTCTTCTTCAATACAGCATGATGTTCATTTAGTAAATGATGGTCCATTTAGAATTAAAACAGATAATAAAGCAGGGTATGCTTCTGGGCGTGGCTACCTTGTGATTGACAGGTTGCTACCATGACCTAATCAGATCTGGGGGTTGTCTGTGTTTTCATCTCAGAACTTTAACCCTTTCACAGTATGTTTTCACTTCTTGACAGTTAATTGTAACATTGCGGTCGCTTAAAAACATGGCGGCCGTGGCTCATAGGGTAGAGGGGGCTGTCTGGTAACCACAAGGACGGCGGTTTGATCCCTGGCTGCAACGTGTCCTGTACCAAAGTGTCCTTGAGCCCAAAAACCCCTTGAACCCCGAATCGCTCCTCGGGCACTTCACAGCAGCCCACTGCTCCTAATATGCTAAGGATGGGTAAAATATTTCATATATGTAGCTAATGTAAATGAGGATTATAATAAGGTTTAAGTTTATTCAGCGTTTAGTTGTAATTAGCTCTACCCTTTCGTGTCAGCTCTGTCGCAAAAAACAAGATGGTGACGGACAAAATGCAGAACTCGAGGGTTCAAAACTGCTGTCCACAAACTGATGGGGATGTCCTGATTAATATGTCCACTTGTCAATGAGCGAGTCACGACACAGTACCGGTAGGCCTAGGGAGTGGCCAAAAAGCATGAAGACAGACTTTCCAGCAATCATTTACTTCACATCATACATCAAATAAGTCTTGTTGATTATGTGACATGACCAAAGAAAGATAATAAAAAAGGTTTCAATATTAGTTTTGCTTAGAAGCTGCTCACAATGTTGCAATGACCATGTAAATGACCGTACCGGTGAGGTCAGCTCAAACTATATTCTAACATATTCTAACACAAAATGTGCTCATTTGTAAACCCACATGAAATGAATACATTTCGGTCAGATCCGTCTATCAGAAGAGCCGAGAAAGAAGAACGATTACACTGAATGGAGCAATAAATAAAAAAACAATTTGGTTCAGGTTCAAAAACATCTGCTTGAAACCAGAGAGAAAGTACTCTGAGCCCTGGTGTGAATACATTGTAGCAAACCTGTAAAGATCAGTTTGTTCTTGATCCAGCCTTGAGTGTCAGCATCCAAACAGCCAAACAGACTGAACCCTATAGATTTACATTCACAAAATAAGCTGTTCTTCTTCATGATCAATGCATTATTGAGCCGTGGCGAGAGGCTCCTGTGAGAGTGAAAGTATGTGGTGAGACCCTGAGCAGCCTCCTCACCTTCACCTCTCTTCATTCTCTGAATGGGGCTGATAGTCGAGTTATTGCTCTGTAAACAGCAGACGATACATTGCCTCTGCTGAGACACCTATTGTTGCTGTGTCCCTTGATACTGACCCTGGTTCACAGCAGAAAGTGTGTGTGTGCGGGCTCGTGCACGCGTTTGTGTGTGTACAGTAACTTAAACCAACTTCTGTGATTCTATCTGCCGCTATGTTGCAAGAGGAAGCGGGAGGAAGAATAGATAACGGGGGGCATGAAGAATGGGAGAAGAGAGGAAGACATCAGGGAGGAGGAGGAGAAGAAAACGGAAAGTAGTTCAATGGTGATGGAATCATTCAAAAGAGAGGCAGGGAAAGTCGAGAATAAAGGCAGAAGAGGGAAAATGAGAAGCCTCTCTGCATTATTTGTTCTCCTGAGAGGAAATATTAGACCAGAGACGTCTGGCTGGCTCCCCAGTGGACACACACACACAAACCCGCACACTGGCAGACGTAAACACTTTTGTGGTGTCTGAACCCATGGGTGCCCAGCTGCTGCGTGCCCAGTTACTTGATATCGGTGATCTCAACTAGGGGGACAGAAAGAGGAAGATACATTTACATGTTCTGTTCTAAACACACTGAAGCAGGTGTGTCTATCCTTGAATAAGCCATCAGATACACAGTGGGTGATGTCTTTTACATGTCTTGCTTATTTTGAATTAACAAAAGAACTGGGTAGATTATTTCACGATTGTAACATTGTGTTTAAAAGATGTGCTGCACTCAAAGACTCAAAGGAGAACCAACCAACAGGGATAAATTACAAACATATTATGGATTTGTACATGGAGGAGCAGACAGAGTCTAGTTTTGTGCCATACTGAGAAGCTTCAAATATATTAGCTGACCTCCCCTGCCCAATCTCTTAAAGTCTAAATGTGTGTTAAAAGTGTGTGTGTTCATGGCGTGTGCAGAGGGCAATGTAAGTATGAACTGAGATAGTGAGAAAGACACGATGTGATGGAAATGGCAGAAAACATAGGAAAGGGTGAACAGGGGGATGGAAGCAGACAGGCGGATAGAGAGGAAGAGGGGTGTATCTCCTCTTTGCTAACCAGATTACTTTACTATGTGTCAACAAAACACTTAATCCATTTGGCATCCCTAAGCAGCTTAACATTATAACCTTAGCTGTTATACAGACAACACACGCACACAGTATCGCAAGTACATAGTCCTACGACATTCAGTGTTCTTTGTCTTTACAATCAGTAGCGCAGTAAAGTTGTCATGCTAATATGACCCAAAATCCAAAAGGGTATTGGTTCAAAACTTCAAAGGTAAACCTCAACATAATCTTAAACTTTGTTATTTGATGTTTTAGTCCTTTTTGAAATTGACTTCTCTCCTAGTGTTGTTGTTGTGTACAGTCTGTCTTTTTTATCACATTTTGTATTGCAAACCCTGGCTACTTGTTATGCACTTTGAAAACTTGCACCATGGTTGTAAAACTTCGAGGCTGCACATGACATGGGACACCTTCAGAGATTTTTGGGGATTTAATTGACAGACCTCCATGTACACGGCATGGCCAAAGGTATGTGGACAGCACCACTGTCCACATAGTCGCCCCACATCAGTGATCACTAATGCTCCTGTGGCTGAATGGGGGCAAATCCCTGCAGCCAGGTTCGAAAGTAGTGTGGCGAGCCTTACTGTTAGAGTGGAGGCTGTTCCAGCTGCAGATTAATGCCCATCATTTTGGAATGGGATGTTTAACAATGCATATAGTTGTAATGTCCGGGTGCCCACATACTTTTGGCCTTGGGCTGTATGCAGTTGTAGGGCACATGCCCGACTTGGTCACACTCTGTTGCTAACATTGCAAATTGTCATTTATACAGCAAATATAAAATGGCATCCCCTGCCACCTGTCAGCTGCAGACCTCCAGCGTGGGTGCCAGAGGGTGTTTGATGTGTCACCTGAACACTCTCCATTGACAGAGCAACAAACAGGAAGGCAGACAGATGGAGAAAGACAGGGACATAAAACAGACAATGATGGATCAGTTCATACCTTGCTCTCATTCTATCAATGCAATTCTGTTTGGTTCAAGTCGCTTCAGTGGCTGCTTCATTGGAAAGGTGCAGGGATGCGATCCATCGCCCAAGCAGATGGTGACAAAATGAATTCCATTCATACACAATACCAAAGTAGAAGAGATGATCTAGCCCCTACTTACTCTGCAGTCAGTATTGTTGTCAGTTTCTTTGAAAGTACAACGCTCTCATTTTACCGCTGCATTACACACTTACTTGGAAACAACATCAATGAGGAGCTTTGTGACAGCTGGAGGGACTGTGTGTGGCATTATCTTTGAGAAAATCACTCAGTCGTAATGTTTCTCTGTCTCTTTATGGATAGCTCTGTCCACTCTGTCGTTTCAGCATCATCTTTCTTCTTTCTTTCCTTTCCCCCTATCCAGCATCTTCTTTGTCTCACTACTTTTCATTTCGCCACTTTCCTTTTAGCATTTCTAAGTAGGTAATAGTGGCCCCTGCACTGTAAGAGACAAGATATCAGAGTTATTCTGTCTTTTTCTCAGTACTTTTATTGTTAAGCAATCACTGGACACAAGTTCGCAGGATCTTTAGAAATCATCACATCTCTTAAAAGGATAAGAACAATGGCCACAGCTGATGTGCTCTGTCATGGTTTGAACTACACCGAGGCAATGATATGTTCTAGTGTCTATGTTTATTCTATTAGACATGGTCATTCAGGTTGTGTATCTGAAATTCTCCTCCATCAGTCATTCATATTATCTATACCTGAATTGCTGTTGAAAAAAACAGAAAAAGAACCATGGGCTACAAATGACTACAGTGTTTGACTGTTGTCAGACGATTATATTGACTGACACATTCTCCTTCTCACGTTCTGTGAGAATTGTTGTATGCCTTACAGCCTTTGTTTGTGTGTGTGTGTGTGTGAGTGTGTGTGTGTCACCTGGAAATACAAATCTACATTATTGTTTGTATATTGTATCGATATTTACTGAATCATTTTGTATGTTTAACTAAACAAACCAAAGTGAAGACATTAGTATATTATTTTCCATCTTTATAAATATATACAGTATATATACTGTATATTATTTTTAACAAATTGAGTTTTTGAATTTTTTTAAATCAGATTTCTCTAAATACTTGGAGGAAAATGGTTGAGTTTGAAAGAAAATCTTAACAGATATTTTAACACTGGCTGACACAATAATAATAATAATAATAATTATCATGATTATGGTTATTATTACCATACACTTCATTCAATAAATGCTAGAATTGATAGAATTGATGTCAATTGTTATGAACTCAAACTGGTTTAAACACTTCCTAGCTGATGATAAGCATACAAGACTCTGAATGTATTAAATATCTTTATTATAGTTATTCCTGTTGGTATTGCTCCAGTATTAGTGCCCACAAGCTCTATGTGCTGCTTAGAATAATGTGTATTCCTTAAAATATTTATATTGCAGGCTTATTAAACTATACATCAGGTAGCTCTAACACAGTGTTCATATGCTCGCAACATATTTGCTCATGCTGTTGCAAAATAACTTCATATATTAGATAGTTATGCAGTACAACACACACACACACATCTACAAATGCACACATACGCACATCATGGTAGAGGAAGAGACACCAGATGTGACTGCTGCAGAAGACAGATCACTGCAATAACCAAGGTGC